GTTTTTCTATGGTGTTAGGTTTTGCCTGTAGGCCAGAAATTTCCGTTCTGCTGTCATCTGACCAGATCACTCTCTTTCACGTGTTTCCTTTGTCCTCAATGTGTCTAGTGGCAACGGGACGGCTCCCTGCCACTCTTCCTCAAAGCTCAGGTTTGTAGAGATCACACAGGGAATCTCTGCAGCTCCTCCAAGGAGACAATGGCTTCTTAAAATCTTCCCGGCATCTCTGTACATTTTGAAGGATGTCCATATCCGTGTTACGTGGAGGTGCTATACTTTTTTTGGTGATGGATTTAACAGTGCTCTGTGAGATGTTTGGAGGTTTTAATTCTCTTCTGTTTACTTTGTTTATTGTTTATTACTGGATTAATTCTGGGATTAAATACACACAGATGACTCTGCTGACTAATCTTAAGGTTATAATTTACACAAAATACTATTTAGAAGGATCTGATAATAAATACGTGTAATTTTTTCACATTTTTAATCTGTAAAAAATTCATAAAGATACACATCCCATTTCTCCTAGTTCATAATGATCGTGCTACTTCTATGCTTCTATACTTCTAACCGTGCTATATAAATAAAGTGGATTGGATTGGATTGGATTCTATATCAGATAAAATCTCTATAAAAATAAAATGCTTTTGCCTGTAAAATGAAAAAATCAAATGGTGAGATATCAGCAGCGTGTTTGTTTATAGGAGTAGACACATGCATAACAATTTAGATGCATTTATTTTAAAAAATGACCTCATCACACCGGCTTTATGTGCGTGTAATGGATTTTCCTCTGTCTTCAAACAGTCTGTGTTCGTTTTACAGTGTTGAGATGCAGATGATTGACCTTCATCTCTGTTTCCCAGGACCTTTCTGTCAACACAGCAAATAGGAGGATTGGACACTTTTATTCAGTTAGTGACGGTAGCCTGAATGTGGGAGGTTGCAGAAATACTGAAAACATTCTGTGGAGTCCTCTTTAAGCCTTAATTTCTAATATAGCAGCAGACTCCTGCAATCTGTATAAACATTTGTACCAAAAGCTGGAGCTGGTGGCTCAAATATGAAAAGATTGACACAAAACAGACTGTTCAAGACATCTCAATAAGAATGTAAAGCTACTAATTGTGTTCTCCAGAGCAAATTTGCTTTAACACAGAATCACAAGCAAGATAATAAATTATAGAAATACTTTTAGTTTAGAGCCATAAAAGAAAAAACTCCTGTTTAGTCGAGGAGTTTCACTTTAGAACTAAACAAAATATTTATTTTTTTGTTGCTAGTTTGCTTATTTGTCCTTAAAAGATGCTGTTAGTGTGGATTCAAAACTTAAGAAAACCTTTTTAATAAATTCTAAGGAATACTATTAGTTTCAGTTAGTCAGTTTTACACAGCTTCTTTCTCTGCCACTTTTTAACATCAGTGCTATTTTATAGCATCTTAAAATCAGGTTTATTTAAACCGTTAATTTTTCAGATGATACTTGACTTTAATCTATCATCATGTTCAGGACTTTTAAAGAAAAGCGCTTAGCCTCAGTGGTAGTGATTTAGTGATTGCTACTTCATTGTTAAAATCATATGTCATAAGTCTATGAAATAGGAAAAGCATGATCTTAACAGCATGCAAATATGCTGTATAAAAGCAAATGCTGTATGATAAAAGTATTAAATTATCTGATTTTTTTGACTAAAAATTATATTAGAATTTAACTTAAAATGTTTTTTTTATATGTTTTTTGTTTTCCATCTGTCCAACAGGAAAAGGTCAAACTAATGTGTTTATATGAGGTTTAATTAATTAAAATATCGGCTAAAAATTGAAAAGAACCAGCAAATTTAAGAGCTGGGATTTTTGAGGTTTGGAAGAATTTGGGTTTGAATTCAGATTTAGTTAATTTAGTAAATAAATAAAACAAAACTTGTTCACTGCAAAAACAATCTAGAAATAAGTAAAAATGTCTTAAATTAAGTGTATTTACCCTTAATTTGAGTAGGTAAATAAGATGATTTGCCAATGGAATTGGTATTTTTACTCTTAAAATAAGATAATTAGATAATATACATTTGGAATAAGATAATGCCCCCCCCCCCTATTTTAAATGTAAACTGTCTCATTGGCAAACTGTCTCACTTACCCCCTATCTAACTCTTGAATCAGTTCTTTTTTAGGAAACATTTTGAATATTTGACAACTTGCTGTGCCTTAATTAGATTAGCCTCTGTGCTAACATGTTCAAATTAAAGTTTGCTTGCAGGCGAGGGTCTAAATCCAGGTAGTGAATGGCACATCTAAGTTAATTTATGTTTTACACCCTTACTAATTAAATGACAGAAATAGTAAGAATCAAACGTGTAAGCTATCTAAACACCTGAACCCTGAACCATGTGTTTCAGCCTTTAAAAAAATTTATTTAATAGATTTATTTCACCAATATGTGATCCTTAATTAGCCAAATCTTAATGTGATTGCTAAAGTTAAACTTGCAATATGAGGTTCATTTGGTGAACCTGTGATTATTTAAACTTATATTATCCTTTTAAATTAACTAATAGATTTCATTTAAATCTAGTAATAACTAATTCTCCATACCCTCACTAATTTTATGACTCCTCTAATGCTTAAGCTAAACTTGGCAGGCAGCTGTCAGGGAAAAGGTTTCAGCATCATCTTTTTAGTCAAAAGTATCACATTTTTGCTTGTCTTTTGTATGCTTCATTAAATAAATAATTCAAATATGTAGGCTTTAATAAACTACATGACTTCCTCCCATTAAACATGGAAGTTGCAGTCCTACTGCCAAGGAGCAGCAGAGGTGAAAGCAGACTCTCTACATCCATAAAACTTGTTTTTTGTGAAGTAAAGACTGGAGCTTTAACAGCTTTGTATCATATAAACCAGATACATTCCAGGTTGACCAGAGGCAGTAGGTTTTTAATAACCATTAAGATGATTATGGGTTATTTTTATGAGATATTAAGGGACACACATCCATTAATAGTTAGAAAAGAACTTCTTTTTTTAATGGCAAAACCACATTTTCACTGGGAGTAAAGTAATTAAAATTGTTTTGTTAAGGAGTTAACATTTATACATTTATATACCAGTTAAAGTAACAAACTTTCTGCTCCAAAATGTTGTTTAAAATCTACAAAACGTTTATTTTGTTAAAAATAAACTTATTAGAAAGAGAACGATAAATTGGAAATTCACTTCTTTCCCCCCCAAAAGGGAAAGAAGTAAATTTCTTATCTTAGCATGCAACCCTCATGGGATGCATGCTAAGAAAAATAAAAAATGTAAATAAAAAATCAGACAGATGCAGTATTGCTTCAACGGGCAGTGTTACCGCCAAGTCTGACGCGCGTCATTCCCTTCTGAATTACTGAGGCCTTAAAAAAAAACTTGTGAATTTGTTACAGTCTTGAAACTTAGTTTAATAATCCTTTGTAACTTTTTTAATTTAGCTCAAAACACACAAAAATATGTAAATATATTTGCATGTCCTTTTTTTGCATTCATTTAAGGCGCATGGGCACATTTGTGTGAGCTTGTACATGTATCTCCACATTTTAAGTAAAAAAAAAAACGCTTTTTACAACAAAATGTTTTAATAATAACAAGTAGCCTACTAATTACTGATACACAGTAAATGATAGAAAAAAAAACTAATCAGCAAACATTTTTTTTTTTTAAGCATTCACAGTAGGCCTTAAATTTGATAAACCCTGCACGCAGGACGCAAACGCACACTGAAAAAACGATCTAGAACAGGGGTCTGCAACCTTTCATATCCAAAGAGCCGTTTTGCGAAGAGTACGACCGAATAAAAGTTGTTTAGAGCCGCAAAATATACCATGACTTTTTATAGAAAACCTTTTTTTTTTTTTTTATCTTGTATAGGAAATTAGTTGTTGCCATCTCTAACAATTAATTCATATATTCTTAATGTTAAAACGTATAATTCTCAAGCTAATTAATAGAAAAATGTCTCTTAAAACATATTTCTGGTTCTTTTAATCTCATTCTTTTCCATCTTATAAAAAACGCTAAAGCTATTGATACCGGTATATATTATAGTAAATTATTTAGCTCTTTATATACATTTTAGCCGCTATTAAGAGCCGCTGGAGAGGGTCCAAAGAGCCATATGTGGCTCCGGAGCCACAGGTTGCAGACCCCTGATCTAGAATTAAGTAAAAATTCCTTAAATTAATTGTATTTACCCTTAATTTATGTAGGTAAATGAGATAGTTTGCCAATGGAATGAGTGTTTTAACTCTTGAAATAAGATAATTAGATAATATGCACTCTAAATAAGACAATGCAATTTTTTTTTCTTATTTTAAGTGTAAATAGTCTTGTTCCATTGGCAAAATGTCTCTTTTACCTCCTTAATCCAAGAACAAATGCACTTACTTTAAGAAAAAAATTATTTAGGTTTCAATTTTTTTTCCACTGCAGCAACACTTTGCGTAAGGATTGCAACTTTCTCAGTGATTTATGTGATAAGAATATATAGGCTATATATAAATAAATAAACACATTTCTGCATGCAGAAACATATTATGGAAGTTTTAGAGTGTATTTTCTTTTCATAAGTAAAAAAAAGAGGTTTCTTATTTGCATTTAGCCTCATAATAACACGTTTATTTGAGCTATATAAAAGCATATTGCGAGGAAACTGACTGTAAATTTGACACATTAATTAATTTACTTCTATTTAGAACGTTTTCCTTCGCGAAACCTCATTTTAGAAGCTTCCAGACGCTCATTTTTGGGATCATGCTCAAACTTTTTTTGCTCAAATTTTTTTATTTTATTTGGATTTTAAACAACAGCTTTACCCGCATTAACTTGGATGTTATATTGGGTTCCATCTGTAGCAGCCTGCTCTAGATCACATTTCTGGACACAAAAGAATGCTTTGATTTATTCCCATCCAGGCGGAATATAATCTAATCATGTGATCCGCTGTGGAACCAATTGGCAGGCGAGAAGTAGGTGAGGGCAGGAGGAAAAAAATACTACCATTTTAGGGGAGGATGCAAGCCGCTATACCAGCCCATCTAAGGTTTTACAGGCGCACTTAAGTGTCTTTTTATTGAAATAATAAAATAAACATGTCGCTAACGAATTATTATTCCATGATGGGTGTCCAGACCGAGGAGCCGTTCGGTGCGCATTTCATCCCGGGAGGCTTGCAGGGCTCCTCGGCCGGGTGCGCGAAGCCTTCCCGGGTAGCGGAGCAGCAGGAGGAAGAGGAGGATGAGGAGGGGAGCCTCTGCTCACACATCCCGGATTTTTCCCATTTTTCCAACAAAGCGAGCCTGAATGGTTTTTCTCCCTGGACAAACACGGCTACCTCCTCCCCGACGTCCTCCCAGCTGCAGTCCGGCCTGTTCCACCCCCTCCTGACGCACCACCATCCTTACTACGGCCAGCAGCCTCCATCTCACCCCGAACACCTCGCGGCGTCCGACGGCAGGTTCGTCCGCTGCTGGGAGGGGGTGGCCCCGTCCTCTGAAGCCGCTCTGTCGCAGGTGACGCCCGCTTTCCCCTCGTGTCTCCCCACGCATCCCAGCCCCACTTATGAAGCGATCAAACCAGAGAGCTCCCCTCCAGCCAAGCACAGCGCGGAGGAGTCCAGCTTCAGCAGCCCGGCAGAAGTGGTCCTGGAGCGGCTGGGGACGGCGGAGGAGCTGGGGAAGAAAAACGAGCCGAAGATGGAGAACGAGGAGAGAAAACCCCGACAGCAGCAGCAGCAGCAGCAGCTGGACCCTGGTAAAAAAACAAAAAAATAAAACAGTTTATTAGCTGTAAGAAGCGCCAACACGCAGTGCGTCTGTCTGTAGGTGAGTTTATAGGCCTATAAACGTCTTGTAAACCCTAAAATGTAAAACTTTACAGTCCATTGAAATAATTAAGAGGCTATTGTTATTTTGCAGCTTGTCAGCAAAGGGTTCGCAGGTTTACTTGAACAAAGGCTTTTATTCATTTAGTTTTTTCCTTTGCTTCAATTGAGTGAACGCGTTTCACCCCCAAAAATATGTGAAAAAAATAATTTTTAATTAGTCTGGTTGATTATGACGGACAAGGTTACATAGAATATGATAAACATGTCTTTTTAAGCTTAGAAAAAACTGAATAAATAAAAAAAGACAACTAATTAGTGGGCTTGTTTTTTATTATAACGCAAGGTAGGAAACAAACAAATAAAAATGATCACAAATATGATTTTAGTTAAGCTGAGAATTAGTGTACATTGGATTATTTATTTAGCATTTCTAGTTATCACAAGAACATTAAGCATTTTATTTTGTATATTGCCTTTGATTCGGTTTTTCTACAGGTTACTGTGGGTAAAAAACAATAAAAAAATCATGTATGAGTTTATTTAAGTGTATATTTGTAGTTAAATAAAAATAAAGATAAGAAATAGAATATAACAGCATATAAAGACAAGAGGAAATAATGTATGGGAGGGAAAACAGATTGATATATTCAAGGAAAATATTTCAAATTTTATAATTAACTGTAGAGAAATTATTTTAAGATAAGAGCAGGCATGCATGTGATGATAAATAATTATTTACTAACCAATAAGAACAACAACTTTCTTGCTGCCCTTTTTTTCTGCTTTAATTATAAAAAAAGAAACCTAAACAGAAATGGGGGAACTTTACTTTATTTGGTTGGTTTTACTTCTTTGGATTTAGAGGAACTAAAAGCTGGAGGCTTTTAATGTTTCTCAGTTTCTTTAAGTCTCACAGCTCAGAGACTCCTGCCTAATTTAAAACACCTTCCCCCTCTGGTGCCCCTCCTCACAGAAAATCCATCCGCCAGCTGGATCCACGCCAAGTCCACTAGGAAGAAGAGGTGCCCCTACACCAAGCACCAAACCCTGGAGCTGGAGAAGGAGTTCCTCTACAACATGTACCTGACAAGGGACCGGCGTCTGGAGGTGGCAGGACTCTTAAATCTGACAGAGAGACAGGTGAAAATCTGGTTCCAGAACAGGAGGATGAAGATGAAGAAGCTGATGATCCGGGAGAGGAGGAGTATGAATGACTGATGATGATCACCAGAGGCTGAGTATCTCATGTTTATATACGTCTAGTTTTCATTAGTGTTGCACCGATGCCATTTTTTTGGCCCCTATACTGATACCCGATACCTGTATTGGCCCATACCGATACCATACCGATACCATCTGTTTCAAACTGATGTGTGTGTATATGAAGAACTGCATACTACTTGGATGCAAAATAATCACCATCATTTCTCAAGCTGCTGCCTGTGTGACATAGGTGACAATAGTTGAATAACTTTTTGGCTCTTAAAATGGTATCGGTGCCCTATTTGTTGGTACTCGCCGATACCGATACCACCATTTTAGTGCTGGATCGGGCGCTGCCCGATATCGATATCGGTGCAACATGTGTAATTCCCACCTGAAATGGGGAAAGAGGCGGCAAAGCCGTGAACAGTGATGCTCAGCATCGACTGCCCCGATCATCTGTTCACAAACTGTGGAGATCATCTAGAGAACTGCAGTGGGGAGACCAGGGTGGGCTGTAACACCTCACTGCTCTCTGCCGTAAATAATCAGAACTCCTCCATGCATGAGTGTTACAGTGAAAACAGTCTGTAACTCTGCATTGTTATAAAGAAAAACACTATGTTTACATGAACGGTTATCTAAAATAAAAACACATTCCTAAAAGTATTCACACCCCTTTGACCAAAAATTGCAGTATGTTCTTTGGGGTTTTCATGTCAAAGACTAAAACAAAGTGAAGCATTAATGTAAACTGGAAGGAAAGTTGACTTGAATAGGACCAGGTGAGCTTGTTGTTTGTTTTTTGGACCTTTTTGTTCTAAAACTCCTGAATGAAATGAATCCAGTTCAGCAAACATACTTAACTTGAACAAAAAGCACCCAGAAGATAAAGGAGAACAACAGGCAGCTCAGGGATGAAGATGTGTAGCAGTTTAAAGAAGGCACAGGTTAAGAAAACAACAACTCCTTCCCCATGGTGAGCCATAGTGGTGGAGGCATCATGCTGCGGGTATATATTTTTTTCCAGATCTAAAGTAAGTTAAGAAAAGGCTAATTTTCAGATTTTATTAATAAGTATTTCCAAAAAACATCATTTTACTTATTTATGTGCTCATTTGTTTCAGCTTTCTTTATAACAAAGCAGCAGTTTATGGTTGTGATAACATGTAATATGAATTAAGTTGAAGGAGGGAGGTCATACTACATTCTTTAGGTAAAAAATTAGGGGCTCACAATTTGCAGTTTTCTGGCCGATGTCAATAAGCGATCTTTAAAATAAGATTTTAACCAATATTTCCTTTATAAAAGTTGTAAGATCACTGTTCAGAAAAATAAGAAATTTGTTTTAGCTACAGAAGATATCACATTCAAACACAATCTAGTGCGGATGTGTAAAACTGGGGAAAAAACACAATGTGCTGCAATTCATCTGACTAAATACATCCAACTAAACCATGAACTGATGACAGAAAATGGTCAAAAATCAAAGAATAAGGAAACAGTGAAAACAGACCCCCTCCTGCTCTGAGTTATAATAACACACTTCCTTTCATTCCTTCATGTTTTCACCTCCATTACAGGGTCTCATGTTTAAAACGTGTTGATGTGTGAAAACCTCTTTTTCTGTCATTAAATGTCAGTACCAACATAGACAGCATGTGAAACATTTGTGAAAAGCTTTGAAAAGTAATCAATTAAATTTTTCAGTTTTTTATTGAGTTTGGATGGAAAAAGCAACTGCACGTCCTGAAAGGAACAAATTACAAGAGACAGATTAGGGACAGAAATTAAATTACAACAGTCTGTGGTTTAAAGATGAAAAAGAAGGCTAGAAGGATACCGTTAAATATTCTAACCAGGATCAATAAAAGATAGATCAGTAATGGAGGTAGCAGAAAAAGAAAAAATGTAAGTTTATTAGATATAACAGCTAAAATGTCTTTGGAACTAGAGGTGCACTGATACCAGTTCTCTGGCTGATTAACCGATTTAAAAAAAAGCCCTTTATATATGTTAGGTGTTATGAAGTCCTGACTCACTTTCCATCTTCCAATCTTATTTTATTGAAAAACTCTGAACAATACTGAAACTATACAAAATTGTTTGCTACTGCATCAGAGGTAGCTGTACTCAAAATATGATTTAAAGTTTTTAGAGAGTAAATAGTGGCTAATTTCACGAGCTTTGTAGAAATAAATCAGTTTATAACATCAGCTTCACATATTAGTTCATTACAGATCAGGCAAGTTTTAGGAAAATCGGCTCAATCAGCCGGCACATCAATCGGTGCACCCTTCTGGTTTCAAAACTTGTCTTTTTTTTATGAGCATGCAACAAATTTATTTTAATCTTAAACCATAGGTTTTAAAATAGCCTTTATTCATAAACCATTGATCTTATTTTATTGAAATAGCGTAACAATTAATACATTTCTTTGTCTAATTTGGTGTCTTTTGTGTCTAGATGTGTGTCTGTGTCACACTCTCTCTGTGTTACAGCTGGCACTGGTCTCCCCTAATATCATCAGAAGACAGAACTTTAATCTGTTACTTGTTTGTTTTGTTTGTTTTGTTTTTTTCTAAAGCGTGCATGTGGCCTGAAATGGGCTGATTTCTTGTTGTTACTGTCGTTGTTACTGTTGTCGTCATTGTTCCTATTGTTGTCGCCTTAGATGATGTCATCATTCCCTTTTTTCCTCCGTAAACACGCAAACACACACCAGTCATTGCTAAGCTACATGACGCGACAAATCCTGCAGCTTTTCATTTTAAATAGTTTCCAGGGATTACCATATATGGGAATACAACGCACAATTTTTCAGATTTAGAATATAAAGTACAATATTATTACATGAAGGGTTATTTTATGTTCACTTTAGGCTCTGTTAGATCTTAGAGCATGTTTGCAAATATGCTCTGCCTCGACCTTGGAGTGATATCAGTATAATATTTAGCTTAAAGGAAATTAAATGTACGTTTTGATGGGATAATTCTTCCATATAAAAGTGTTTTTTTCCTGATCTTTTTTTCAAGATGAGGAGGTGGAATCAAAACAACACGTTCTCTCTCATTGAACTGGAAGGTGCCATCATTAAGGCCTTCATCTTTGAATATGCTGCTCATTGTTATTATTTTCTAAATAAAACAACAATGATGTTATTAAATATGTCTCCCTGGTTTATTTTCTGTTCTCTTATTATATTCTAGCTATTTTATGTGAACAGTCATGATTATCACCTTTAACGGATTTATAGCTTCTGAAGGTTGTGTGAGAAAATGAAAGGCTTATAATGCTAAATGACAGATCTTATTTGCACCTTTCAGTGGAAGGTTTTGGTGTAAGGGATAAGGTTCACCACCCATGATGTCATTCAGCCTGTGGGCGGCACAAACAGTTGACAGATAAAAAAAAAAAAAAGAAAAAAAGAATGGACTGATGTCTTCAACTACTTAAAGTCTGGTTTTGTTTTTCACACGGACTCTATAAGAAATAACACAGTAAAGTTAGACTGGCTAACAAAGCTAAGGTTTATCCACTCAGTTATAGCTTGTATACAAAAAAGGGATAATTTAATTTATTTTTTATTTATCTCACTTACATTTGATTATCTCTTTCTGAAAACATAAATTACATTAATTATAATTATACCAACACTATAGTGAAGCTATACATTTATGAACCATATGATGTTTATTTGGGAATTATGTTCACATACAAGTGGGATTCTTAAGGGTATTGAATATAACCCTGTAAAAAGGATCTAGAAATAAGTAAAAATTCCTTAAATTAAATGTATTTACCCTTAATGAGATAGTTTGCCAATGGAATGAGTATTTTTACTCTTAAAATAAGATAATTAGATAATAAGACACTTGAAATAAGACAATGCAATTGTGTTTTCTTATTTTAAGTGTAAATTGTCTTGTTTAATTGGCAAAATGTCTGTTTTACCTCCTCAATCCAAGATAAAATGACTTACCTAGATTCCGAGTGAGCCTATTGAAATGAATTATGTTTTCACATCTAATATATCACATCTAATATATTTTAGATTTGTAAATGTAGTTTTCAAAAAAGTTAACATCTTTTTTTTTTTTTTTTTTTTTGCTGCATTTAGAAATAGTCCTTCAAGTGATGATTCTAGTGAGCTATTTTTCTAATTCTTCATGTTTAGGGTCAATCATAAAACATTAAGGCTGATAGGATGGGATGAAAAGGATGGGAAATTGTGCCTGGAAGAGTTTTTTTTTTTTTTTTTTTTTTTTTTTTTTTTTTTTTTTTTTTTTAGTTTCCAGCAAACTCAACAAATCATGAATTTTTTTTTTATTACAACCTAGAAAATTAAATATCCTATGAGACAGCCAGCCTTCCAAATGCTAATATTTAGCTCAGCTTTCTTTCACACAATTAGAGATTTACTCTTATTTACACCTTCTCTAACAGGTAAGTGGGGTAATTATCCACCATTTGGAAATTACACAAAAGTTTTGCAGATTTATTTATTTATTTTTTTTGTTTTAATTATTTCTACTCCCAAATGTTATAAAAATCCTGCTTACAGTCTAATCTTTGTTTTTATTGGTGGATAGTTGCAGGAGCATTATAGAGAATAAAAACAGCTTCTATTGATTTAGACCAAAGAATTGATCATAAACAGTAGCATTGGATTGCATATTGGCTTTTCGCCACATTTTCATCACGTTTATTATATGATAAATAAAAGCTGCTTGTCACTTTTCCATGCTCTGCAGAGCAAGAATCCTCTTTAATATGTTTGTGGTTATAAAGTAATCCCATTGCCAAGGTGTCCCTATGCTCTCCGGCAGGCTTTGAGAGCTGAGTTTTATCCCGCAGAGACACATTCTGTGTTTTTTTTTTCTTTTTTCAAAGTCAGCTTCCAGTTTCTCCTCGTTTATTGCGGCCATATAATCCCATCCTATAGGCTGCTGCAGGATCGTAAAGCAACAGCGAGGCTGCATTTGGAGAATAAACGTGACTTTCCGCCCTGACTCCATTCCTCTCCACACTCACAGGCACCATAAAGTCATTTAGGCCAGACGAGCAGCGCGTCTATGGCTTTATTGGAGACGACTTCCCTGCTTCTCAGCCCTGAATGTTCGCAGAAATTAGAAAATTATTGTCTGACTGCAAGATGAGCGCAAAATGAACCTCTGTCGCCAACAAACACAAAAAACAAGAAAATCCATTCCGTGTGTGACTGTGTAAATCCAGATTTTAAAAAAGTATATTTGTGCCTATATTTACATTTGGTCAGTTTTTGCTTTCTGGATGGATTTATTTAATTTTTATCAAATAACTTACTATAAAGATATGCTTCAGTGCATTTTTGGGGTTTTACAACATGAAAATATATGTTCTTGTCTTAAGGCTGCAGTATTTTATAATTCATTATTTTTTGATTGCTTGCCTTAATTTGAAGCATGTTGCCTAGTATTTCCCCTCTTTTAAATATAAAACTTATTTCATTTTCAAAGTAAGAGTTATTAAAATAATACATTTCAACGCAAATTATAAACTAATCCAGTTTAAAGGCCGTTGATTAACAGCAACACAATCAGGAGAGTTTTGTGTTGTTGCGAATTGTGACCACGGGGTGGCAGTGTTGTATTTACCTACATTTTGAGTGAGGCTGGTTTTTATTGTACTTTCTACATGTGTAAACGTATTTATTATTTTATTATCATTATTTATTCCCCTTTTATCAGGGGAACAAACAAATGAATTATATTGGGTGTGTTTTTTGAGCAGAATATAAACCCACTTTATCTAAAATATTTAACATAGCTATTAGTATAGGAGGTATAACATCATGTCCAGTCCAAATGCGTCTCTTAATTTTTTACATGTTTTTTGTTGTTTTTCTTTGTTTTTTTTTTTTAAAAAAAAGCTTATCCTTCCTGTTTTGCAGTATTTTCCCTATTCCTTTTCAAACTAAACAAAATTATGTGCTGTGATGAGGCCTCTTCGGCGTGACTGGCGGTCAGTTAAATAATTTTGGTTGATTTTAAAAGTAAACGTGGGAGGAAACATCACTTTTCATCGCGATTAACAACAAACTTTTTTTTTATATACTAGAGATAATGCTAACAAATAAGTGTAAAAGTTAGGATACATTAAAAAACCCCCATGTGCATTTAAGAAAAAGAATATGATGAAACCAGAGGAAATCTAATGAGATTCACCTCATTATTTGTCAGTAATTGAGAGAAAACAAGAGTGATTATGAAGAAATTAATAGACTGAAAAAAATAAGCACATTCTTTTTTTTATTCCTATTTATATTAAATTATTTTTTACTTGACGGTTGCTGCAGATAGTATTTATTTGCACGCGAAAAAAGGTTGAGGTTTTTTCTAATGATGGCGCGCAAAAACTAATGATCAGACTAGTAATATTTGGAAGAGGTAACGCTCTTTATTGGGCCTATCATGTCGCACCTGTTAAACTGTATCGTTAGGGGTTTAAACCTGATCAGAATGATAACTTAATGTGATTTCGTTTGTGCGTTTTAGCCCTAAAGCTATAATTGTTTTTAGACTACAGCGCAACGAAGAAGCTTTAGATAATCTCCATTTTTAAATGCCCACACAAAAAAAATTAAATATCACACTCATTTTTTATATTTCTTTCTCTTTTTTTTTTTTTTTTTTTTTTAAGTAATCTAATATAGCTTTTCTATATAGCGGGTATTTGTATTTCAGTGTGGGGAAAGTTAGAAAGAAAATCCCTCTTTTTTTTTCATTCCACACCTCCTCCCTGACACACTCACAGCTCTTAAAAAACGTTTTTATGAGCGGGTGCAGGCAGCAATTGGTCGCCAGTGATCATGTGCGCGCGCGTTCCGCGTGCCCTCGCGGTCATGTTTTCCTCACGCGCTCCCTGCAGCAAAGATAGGAGCCTCCGAGCGCATGCGCGCCTCCATGTTCGGTAAAGAGTTTTCCTTTCATTTTTCCGCTGTTTCTCTTTTTGCAGCTGCTCTGTTCGTTAAACGTTTCTTTTTCAAAACATCAAATTTGCAGAATTCGGGAATAAAGTCAAGATAACAGCGCATCAAACTGATTATATAAACACTGTTGGATGTTTTAGACCCATTGTTGCCCACTAGCTGTACTTCTCTTATAATTAATCCAAATATCTGATACTTCTCAGGTTTTCCGTGGATCCCAGACTGGTGCAGAGGAAAATGGAGTCCACGCATCGCGGCAAATAAACCAGGTACCGATGCTCTGGCTGAAAGTTATGGTTTAATCAATTTAGCTGCAACTGCCAACAGATCATTTCATGCATCATTCGCTGCATGCAGAATGTTATTTCGATAATGCATCACATATATCATGAGATAAACTGGTTTGCATCTAAAAAAACTGCTGTCTATGCATTCCGAGGGATTTTGCAAAGCGCCACAGTGGAAGGTTCACAAAAATTGAATTGATAATAGATCTACTTAATATTATTATAATATAGATAATAAATGCGCATCAATAATTTGAAGGCTTTTAATACCAATTGTAACATTTATTGTTTTTTTTATTTATTATTAAAATGACTCATAAGGATGTGAGACGCTGATTGAAGATTACCTGATTTTCTGCAGGTTATCTTGTTTATCCTCTTTTATACTGACCTGTTTTTAATCTATGGTTGAAGAAAAAAAGGAAAGTAAACGAATCTAGTCTTCCCTCAGAGCATGCACTTGGACAGATGGACAGGGACAGATTGGGGACACTTTCCCTACCCTGCTTTTTTTTTTTCATTGACTTTCTGTTTTACGAGGCAGCCTGACTGTTGAAGAAACAAAGACGCAGTATTTCCCCTCTCTTTTCTGTTTTTATTTCTTTTTTTTAGTGGGGGAGTTTTGCATGAGCTTTTTTTTTTCCTCTTCGACAAGGACAGCAGAGGGAGGAAGGGATGCAGAGAAACAAAGACAGTATTTCACTGCTCTTGCTCAGTGGAGCTCGACTGCCACTCAGTATTTACAACCTACTGCAATGCGGCACAGGATCGGTGTGTTTATGTGTGTGTGGAGACTCAAAAAGGGGTGGCACACCCACCCATCATCAGGGGACCCAGCTGTGCTCTAACTGCTATTTTTGAGTGACAAGTGTTGATTTCATCTGAAATTAAACTTGAAATAGGTTGAAGTAAATTGTATCAGCTGGAGAAAGCAGTCTTTATTTGAAATGTCCTTATAGATATAGGGAAATAGATATGTGTCTATGTAGAAGAAAGAAACAAAGACACAAAGGAAAGCTGGGGAGACAGTGATGCAACCAAAGAGTCAGGCTATAAATTCAAACCCTAGAGAGGTGGGAAAAGCACAGAAGAAGGAAAAATCCCAGCAATATATGTTGAAAGGTTTTTTGTTTTATGTTTGTATCGGTTGTATAAATCATAGCTGTCAATATGAGCCCATATTGAGCTTCACCGCAATAAAGTCAAATACAGATGAAGTAGCTATGTATTAAAATGGAACCCAAAACAGGTTGTTCTGATTGAACTATTAAAAAACGTCAGATGTGTCAACACTGATTATATTTTAAATTAATTTTCCTTTTTTTTCTGTGTGTGTTTTTCTGCAAACGAAATTTCAGGGTCTACATAACTAAAGCAACAGATTTCCTCCACTGGATGCAGGTAAGACTTTGAAATAAAATCAGAAAACAACCAATAAGGCTTTTTATCTATCAGAGTATATCTTTTCCCTTTTTGTTTGCAGACATCCAGATGTTACATTGTATAGTAAAGATGGAGGCCATACAGTGTAGAACTGTTTTTACAAAGGCTTTTTTTGGCTCTTTATGAATGAACCACTTTATTAAGGCTGGTTAGTGACTCAACACTGCCACCTACTGGTTAGAACACCGACCTAGCCGCATTGCACTTAATTATCTGTGCATGGAGGGGCCATCATGCATTTGTCCAAATTCAACATACAAATATATTTCCAAAATGTAAATATATGAGTCAGCATATGGGCCACTACTTAAAAAGGGAATGTTTAAATTATGACTTATATTGTTGTTGTTTTTTTTGCTTGCTGATAAAAACCTCAGAGATGTTTTAGAAGACTGGAGGAAAATAGATGAATCAAACAGCAGGAATTGGTTTTGTACTGTTTACATGTTTACAAAAACCCTAAAGGTGTCATCGCTGTTTGCATATCACCGGGGAAAACTAGGAGCTTTGCATTCTGGTAGCAGTAAATGTGATATACTCGCTACCCCGGACACACTTCTGTCAGAGAGTGGCACTGCACTGCCTATACAGAAAGCAATACCCAGTGACTGCAACATCAGGAAAAAAGAACATGAGAAACTAGAGAAACACCAGGGCCTCAGAGAAGAGCTTGAGAAAACCTGTAAGGTCAAGGCATCAGTGGTAACCGTGGTCATTGGGGCCTTCGGGGCAGTGACCTCCAAACTGGAGGAGTGGTTACAGCAGATCCCTGGAAATACATCAGAATATGGATGAAAATATCCCTGTGTTTTCACACACAGGGATATTTTCTATCAGAAAACTTTGCAAACATATAAAGACCTCTTACTTGGTCAGTGCACCTTTTGCACGAATTAGCCAGTAAATACTGCGAGGTCCAGCGTTATTTAATAGGGGTGTTCAGCTCTTGCATCTTCCTCTTGACAGTTAAACTTACTTTAATCTGAAAACAGGACCAATTGCTACCTATGCTTTCGGGATAATAGTTTCCAATGTCCAAGTTACCAATGTCACCTTAGACTTTCAAAACGACCTGCATATTAAAAACCTCTCAAATTGTATATTCCCAGTGCACCACCTTGTTTAGTGCTTCCTTCCACCAAACTTTCCATATATATATACTATAAAGCACTCTTGCACTGCTCTTTTAAGGCCTGTGGAGGTTGTGAAGGGGTGGTTAACTGTCAAATCAACTCTGATCCCCATGATAATCCAGGGATTAACATGCGTTTCTGTATCAAAAGCTTAGTTAGAGTATATTAAGTAGAGTAGATTAAAGCCATTAGATACTGCAATTAGTTGAACACCCATCTTCTCAAAGATAAACAGAACTCTAGGGTTTTGTTTTTATTAAAATGGGATTAACTTGTTGATTGAATTGAAACAATGACTTTTTGATTATATTAGAACTTGTAGACATGTCCATCTTTATAAGAGAACAACTGCGCACAAACCACCATAAGAAAGTAAACGGTGCAGATTTGATGAATAAAAAGCAGCTTGCCTGCAGTGCAGCAATGTGGTGCATTATATAAACACCAGAGGGCGCCCTAGACTTAAGGATGGTTTTCTACGCTGCAGATTCGGTTCAGCCTCAAAAGGGAGGCTCCATCTTTACCTTCAGCTGCACCAGCTCCGAGGTCGTGGTTTGTTTCACCCATTTTACCTTGTATGCCCCCCGAACAGAGCTGCATCCCTCCAGCTGCTGTAGCAGATCAGTTCATCATATCAGCACTGAAAGGTGCGTCATTACGCACAATATTTGCGTTACAATCTTATTGGTTGTTCTGCGCTCGCATTTCTGGATATTTTTTAATGAAAATGTTTTTTCATTATTATTATTTAACATTATATTGTTGAGTGATTACTGATGATATTAGGGTGTTTATACATTCCGATCAGACATATATACATCTGCAACCTAAACAGGTGCATATTTGGGTTTGCAGTAAAAAGTGTTTGCAACTTCTCCCTGTCCTGTTTTTACAGTCCAACCCCCCCCAAAAAGCATGTTGGCAAAGCAGCTAAAGCAAGCAAAGCTGTGTCCAGTTTGACACACAGAGCCGCAGTGTGTTTTCACAGAGCTTGTTTATGGCTTTATTGCTCCCCATTTACGGAAATCAAAGCAGGAAACAAATGTTCCCGACAGCATTCCAGACACATCCGGAAAAATGCAAACAGTGTCCAGTTTCTGCTTGTTTTTGGAGCAAAACGACAAAGGGATGCGTCTCTTTAACGCGCAGGATTCAGATTAGATGTTTTTAATCCATCAGTTTAAGAAGAAGATAATCATTGAAAGGCAGAAGATTGGTTCTACTAGAGCAAAACAAAGAAAAGAAAGAGCCCAGATCAGTAATTATCCAAAGCACAGCCCCCCCGTAGACCAGATTAAAGGTCTGTTCCCACTTTTCTTCTTTGGCGCCATTATCGAATAAAGTGGCTTTCGGTGCAGGGCCCTAATAATTTATGAACCCATGTGGGAGCAGAGGAAAAAAGGCGGAACACGTGACGGTAATAAAGTGTGTTTTATTGCTGCCGTTTGACAAGCCCCAAAATATAACAGAGAGAGAAAAACCGAGAGACGGCCAGATGGGACTGTGGCAGATATTTGTCCGAAATCAACAGATTGCGGCTCTCTGGACCTCTGCGGGGACGGATCTAATAATCAGCCTGCACCCGCTTCCTAAACAGGACTTTCTCCTACATTTTTTCCCTGCAGAAACCAACGTGTTCTAACGCGAGATCGACACACAGCGAGTAAGTACGAGCGTTGTTTTCATATTTGGCGCAAATATCAAGTTATAAATATGGCAAAAAAGGAGGGACGGCGGATGTTTGAAGTGTGAGGGGTGTTTCCCCAGAAGTGAAGCGAGGGCCGGGGAACCTCCCCAGGGGGGCCCCACTGTAGATGTGAGCGAGGGCCTCAGAAATCCACCTGTAGTCCAGAATCAACTCATCTAAATAAATCAGAAAGTCCAGTTAAGACTGTAAAACACAACAGAGTGTGATGGAGAGGGAGATTATATGTTCGTTTGTGGTTTAGTGAAATGCCAGGATTGAGGCTTTGTGTAATTACTCAGTAATTACTAAAATAATCCATGGGAAAGATTTTTTTGTAATAATAAAAGGAAATCTTTAAAAATAACACATTTCTACTAACAAAAAAACAGATATTCAGAAGTTTATCTTCCGAATTTACAGACATTATTTGTGCAAAATAATTGACATGGATCAGCAAAACTATTTTGGATTTGTTTTCAGGATATCTTAAAACGCAGGAAAGCACTGAATTTTAAAATGTAGTGGAAATATATTAAAACAAGGCAAAAAAAAATAATTCCCAAATGAAATAATGTATTCCAAAGAATATATATCACCACCATACATTAAAATAACGTATGTTGGTATTAAAGTAATTTAAAATGGAAATTTAATATTTTAAAGTGTTTTCATGGTGCCTTAATATTGTGTAAAATACATTTTTAGTTTTTAATAAACTAAATGCGATCAAAATACGTATAGGATAAACAAAAAGGATGAAAAAAAAATTTATTTAAGCTTTCATTTTCTTTAGTTAGTCGAAATATGTTCGAGTTAAAGCAGCTCCAGTCTGCGGATGAAAGCTTTGATCAGATTCGTGCAGATTACATCTGACGAACCTAATCACACAAAATAAGAGTTTTTTTAAACTATAAAGTTTTTTTTTTTAATTATTAGTATTCTTACAATTTGAATTTTAAACAAGCAATCGGCGTTAAGTTTTAGTATCGAGTTATTTCGAGTGTATTTGTGTAGTTTCAATAAAAATATAAATAATAATTCTATCCTAAAAAAATAATAAATAAATAAATATATATATATATATATATATATATATATATATATATATATATATATATATATATATATATATATATATATATATATATATATATATATATTTGCAAAAGACTATTTATATTTACTACTTCTATTTACTGAAATAAGTGCATTAAAGCCGAATGAATTTGAAGCCAGTAGTCCGCATGCATGCCAGATAAATCATGCTCCTCTCCATCACCGCGCGCTTCTATTAACTATCAGATCTATTTATAAAATGAGCGCCTGGAGCAAATCTCCAGCAACGCTGTTTTATTTCCTAATTAAAAGCTTCCTTTAATGATCGAGGAGGGTGAAGAGTTAGATCATGCGAGCTGGAAATAGATTTCACTGATTTCCCAATGATTGTGATGCCTCGTTTATTTATTTATTTATTTATTTTTTTCATCGAAATTCGTGAGTCAGCATTATTTACTGTGAGGTTTTTATTTATTTATTTTTTTTGTACTTGCATTTATTTTTGCTGTCTTCGTGGGTAATATTCCAGTCCATTTCATTTTTGGTGAATTGACACCCCCTCTCTTTTAGCGTTTCATCTGCCTCATTTACAGTCGCACTGTGCGCCCATGCGCGCCGCTCAGCCTGCAGACCAGGGCGCATGCGGCTCCCAGGGCTTGGAGGTCGCAGTTAATGTCTAAACCGGGTTAAAGCAGCACCCAGCTCGGCTTTGACCCGGTAGCAGGCCGGGGGTGGAGGGGTGAGCCGGCGGTCAGCCTGTCTAAGATGAAAAAGTGAAACGACCCCAGAAAGAAAAGCCACAACTGAATGGCGCTTTTCTCTCCCTCTATACCTACTGAACTGAGAGGAGAGGTGAGATCCAGACCCTTTACTGCCACGCAGAACCCGCCGTTTGCGTTTATCTCAGCTCACATCTGCGGATGTTTTATTTGCAACATGCGCAGAGATTAATTTCAAAGTGGGAGCGAAGTTATAAGCATGAACAGAATCAATATTTAGAGTCTAAATGATGCCAGGAGATGATATTGGCAACAAAGGCTTGGTGTTAATCAATACCCTGTGAGTAATTCACTCCCCTGCAGGAGCGCATTGGACTGTTTTCTAAAGAAAATGGAAAATAACGAACATTTAAAGCAGCAGAATATAATATGAAGTTTGAACACTGCTGCCGCCCCCCCTCCCTTTTTTTGTTATCTTAAGGGCCGAGCTCGATTTTTGCACAACAATCATCCAAAACCCGCGCCAAACAATGGCCCTGGCAACTCCCGCAGGCCGCGTGAACTCTGCGTGGCTTTCCCCCCGCAGCCAGCTCGCGCCCCCGCGCTGTCCTGTCCAGCGGTCTGAGGACTAATGAAACAAACGGTGAAGCAGCGGTCAACGCTTCTGCCTGACCCTCTGGATGACCTGACGGCAGCTAGGCTACATTCTTAGAGAAGAATGCTCTTTGAAACAACCAAGCATCGCTCCCATTCCCTCGTGTTGTTGTTGTCCCGCTAGAAAAAAAGGTTTGGTAGCCTCACACAAGGTTCAAAACTCCATTCAGAGGTGCGATCAGCTAATGACTCCACGCTCTCCATTTAACCGGGGGAACCTAAGCTGGAATAATCCTGAAAAATGAACCTTCTTTGGACACTAATAGTTAAAGCTGAATGTTTTTTTTTTCTTTCTATGTGCATCTGCAGAAAAGGGAAGCTTCATTTCTCATCTGGACCATCACCTCCTCCCAGTAAAAAGGCAAAGAAAAGACAATATTGCCTTCTGGATGAACAATTAGGTTAAAAAAAAGATCCAATTTGGGTTCATTTGCTGACCTTCTGGGTCCAGCT